GGTGGGGTATTTTTCTGTTATTCGTGAATCACCATGTCAGGGTGCCCTTTGTTTCCCCAGCCAGGGGAAGGCAAAGCAAAGCAGGCATACAAATGCTTCTCTAAAGAGATTAGAGCCCTCAGCACGAAAGGAAAGAACAAAAACATCAAGATGAAAGGTAAGAGATGGGGAGAGATGTATGCTGCTCTCTTAAAACACTGGTGTAAATCAGAAGCAACTGCAGAGGTACTGAATAAGAGCGACAGCCCTGCAGGACCAGTCTGAGACTGGGGGGAGCTGCCAAGCGAACGTGTACGCCGTCTGCTCAACATCAAGTCGTGTCTCGCCTGGATACAAACCACCCAGGAGCACAGTTTACAGGCATGGATTAAGGGTCCTTTTTAGGTTCACTGAGGGGAGTCGGCATTCATCATTGTTTGGCTCCTTTTTCTAAAGCTGTGACCGAGTCAGCTAGCAAGAGCAAATATCCCAGTCGGTGATACTGCAGCTTGTGTGTGCATGTTCCCGCTTCCCCATGCTGGCTCGACTCCCCGGCACATGAGAGCAGCTCTGGGGAGGGGAACAGGTCTGCCAGCGATGGATGTGCTCAGAGAAGGGTCCTGTTTCTCCCTTCTCTAACTAGACACAAAGCAGACTATAATAACACAATGGCAGCCACAGCCTCTCTAGATACTGAAGCAGAGCTCAGCAAAGACATCTGTCTAGCACCACCAGCCTGCAGAATGATTCACGCTGCTCTATTACTCACCCAAGACATATATGCCCACCATCTGAATATTGATAGATATTGAAGCATGATCATCAGTTCAATTAACCTGCTCTTGATGCAGCACAAATGCACTATTTTGTCAGACTCTTAAGAGATTGTATCCGAAGGTCCCAAACCAACACCCTAGCCCGAGTCTGGATTTTATGGAGAAACTAATACCAGCTTCCAAACTTCAGAGACTGAAAACCTAGGAAATCTCACCATCTCCCACTGCACGTGGAAGATGCTTTGCCTGGCTAAGCACAGCAGGTCTGCCAGGGTTCAGTTCTCTCCTGGCTTGTAGCTTTGTTGACTACTTGGTATCACAGTCCTATTCTCTTTGCTATTCAGGAGCTCGAGGGGCTGCTGACAGAAATTAAGGACATTTCTGTTGTACTGGGAATTGACAACGCATGCAAACTTGATCTGAGCAGAATTGTGGAAGAAGTGAGGGCCCAGTATGAAGCTCTGGCTCTTCGGAGCTGGGAGGAAGCCGAAGCACTTACCAGGAGAAAGGTATTTGTCCTCTTATCTGATTGATACTGGGGAGAGGCAGGGAAAGAAGAGGGAGAGAGATCAGCCTAGAAACTACAGGAATCAGCAAGGTGTGGAGGGACAGACTACACCTGGGAATGGAGGGAGGGACAGGGTGCTAACCCAGATCAACTCCTCCTAACTCAGGTGTGTAAATTAGTAGTTTCATTGCTCTAGGCTCTCCACACTGCCAGTGGAAAAAGGCAAGGACATTTCCCAGCGGCAGCTTGTCCCACCTAAGACGCAAATGACCTTCCACTGGTGCCTCCTGCAAACAGAGCAAGAACGTGATTAACCCCAAGAGACAGTGTGCTCTATGCCTGGCACAGCTACAGCCAAAAGAGGATAAGAGAATGAGCCCTAAATCCTTCCACACACCCACTATTTTTCCCCAGTTAGGTGCTTCTCCTCAAGGGCAATGGGAATCCTTGCAGATTCCTTTGCTACAGCAGAGGAGGCACACAGATAACCCACTCTTCCATCTCTCCTGCAGCTGAATGAGGGAAGCACCCAGTCGGGCACCTACGGGGGTCACCTCCTTGACAGCCGACGGGAGATCGCAGACCTGAACATACAGATCCAGAAGCTGAGGTCCTGCATTGTGTCCCAAAAGAGCCAGGTGTGTCGTGGGGTGGATGACAAAACTCTGATGTATAGGTCTGAAACTACAACACACCTAACGCCTCCACCACCCTTTTCCCTTTGCAACACCAGTGCCTGTACTTAGAGGAGCATATCAAAGAAGCAGGAGAGCATGGTGAGATGGCCCTCAAGGATGCCAAAGCGAAACTGGTCAAGCTAGAAGAAGCCCTACAGAAGAGCAAGGAAGATATGGCTCATCTGGTGAAAGAGTATCAGGAGCTGATGAACATCAAGCTGGCCCTGGACGTGGAGATCCTCACTTACAGGAAGCTGATGGAAGGGGAGGAGAGCAGGTAAGCTGGGCTTCCTTGTGCCTGAAGAGGGGAAGGGATGCACCCAAACACCTAGGGAGAAAGCAGACATCCCAAGCTTTACATCTAGTATTCAAGGTTTGACCAAAGAAAGAACCAATCCCAGCAGTCCCCGTACAGTTCAGCCCTGGTTCCTGCTCTGACGTTTTCCTTAGACTCTCCAGATTGGAGGGTTCCAGCACTTCTCTAGATGATGCTGTTGAGTTAGCCTTCATGATCCAGCCATGCACTTGGCTCTACCCATGTAGCCCAGCTCACACAGGCCAAACTCCCATCCTCTATATCTCTCTGGCACTGCAGAGGTTAATATGTGTCCTCACACTCTGTCCTTGCATTCACAGCATGGAGCAACCGATACCCACAGTCATCAGCACCGTCCACTCCAGACCAAAGCACCGTAAGTGGTTTTATTCACACAGCTTGGTAAAGCAGAGTGCGAATGAAATGTTTCTAACCTCCCCCCTCTCATTCCCTCCCACCCCGGCAGTTTCTGCCAGCACCTTGAGAAACTCCAAGCTGTTTGCAAGAGGAACAGGCAGCACCAATGGTAAGATGAAGCCAAATGGAGACAGCACAAAGGTATGGCCCTCTATAAGCCACAGCGACAACTCCGCGACACCTGAAGCAGATGCCTTCATCAGCGGTGCCCGGCCAAAGCTCAGTTCCCTGCCCACCGAAGAGTGCTCCTAGGAGAAACGGAGCCCCACGGCATAAACACAAAACCCGTTGGCATCTGTAGCCAAATGAGGCCAAAGCACTTTCTCCTGAACTCAAGCCAACGTCCAAGGGACAAAGGATGAGAACCCACTCCAGGCTGTCTGTCTCTTTTAAGTGTGTCTTTACAACATCCCAGTTAACATCTTTGTTACCTGTTACAAGCAGAAACCAACCCAGGATTTTAGAGACTCCCCCATTCAGATACCCACACCAACACCTTCCGCTCTAGGTCGGTTTCCCCAGAGGATTCGCATTCTCAACTTTTGAGATCTACCTATAGGAAACTTGGCAGGAGGGGAAAGTATTGGTACACAAGCTTTTAACACAGCAGCCAGAAGCCATCAGCCCAGCCGTTCTACCAGTATTACAAAACCCTTCTCTCTGCTCCGTCCCTGCTCTGTGCATGTCCGAGAGGCGTTCGCTGGTGCTGCCTTCCTCCGAAAGCCACGTCGAGCTTTCCAAACTGAGCTGGTGGGGAGATGCAGGTGGGTTTGCAACATCTGGATTTGCATATCTGGTGACAAACGTGCTGGCTGTACTGGGGGATCCTTGGCCACGTCAGAGTATTTAAGAGATTTTACTGCCTTTTGGGTAGCCCCTCTTTCCTTCCCATGCCACCAAAGCTAAAACTCCTCAAAACTTATTGTCATAAGCCATCTCTCTAACAGAGAGCCTCGCCTGTCTCACCTAAAGGCACTCCAGACCCCACACACAGTGGTGCTATGTTCCAGAAAGGGGATATTGGTTCCCATTTAACCACAACAAGCAGGACTTGTCTTTGTATTTATTGAACTTCCACAGCAGCTTTTACCTTACGCCGGCTGACACCAGCCAATGCACACCAGTCACGTCGCACCAAAGCTACTAGAGCCAACTCTAGATGCCATGTTCCCCTGCGAGCAAGGCAGAGGGGATGCTCTGGCCTCAACACAGACATTTCTGTGGCCCTCTTGCACAAACCAACATAGACAGTGCCCTGCAGTATTCTCCTTTATGAGGCCAGGCTCTGGCCTCAGCCACTGCCACGCCGCCCCACTTGAGTTCCCAGATTTTGAGTTCACGGGAGGAGTTGTAATAGTCTCTTGGCATATTTCCGTTGCGTGCATCGCAGTATTTCCACATTTCTGTAGGATAGACAACTACCATAGCGTCTATGTAACCAGAACACCGGCTCTCCGGGGTTACGGCTGTTATAATAAAGTATGGAGTGTCACGCAGAATGCATTGTATTGTTGGTTTTCTCCGAATTTCTTACCACAACCCACCTGAAACAGCGATTCCTTCCCCAGTTGCCAGCAGGTCTCAGCTGAGGGCTCTGGCTAACCTCTGGCAGCCAAATGAAGCTGAAATTGCTTCCCGGGTAATTTGTTTGGTCCCCATCCCCAGGAAGAAGCACACAGGGCTGGAAGGGCAGACGCGGAGCCAGCAGCCAAGGCTTTGGGGAGCTCACTGCTGTTCTGCCACCAGGCTCCCACAGGGCTTTGAACCACAGAGCAGCTCAAGCATGTTTCAGGAGATGAAGGGTTATTCCACAGGCCATCACACTCTCACCACCGGACTCATCTACACAAAGCTTCCCCTTGCTAAACTCCCCCTGCGCCTCTGCAAAGGGGAACCTCTGTGCACCTGGGACCCAAATCCATCCTGGGGAACCACGCTTCCATGCAGCCCCTCATTTCAGAGGTGCCCTTCCAGAGCACAGGGGTTTTCTTGGTGCTCCTTGCTCAAAGGGACCTGCCTGGGAGATCCAACACAGACAAGGCCCCCAGAGGTGCTAGAGGACCTGAGATGGGAGCATCTCTGCTCTGCTGTTTGCTCCCCACCTGAGAGAAGCACTGTGCTTTCAGGGTCGGCTCAAAGGGTACGGGGGCAGAGGAGGGGACAGTCCAGGCCAGCAGGAAGTCCCCACCTGTTAAATCCAGTGTCTCAAACTGGCAGGGATGGGAAAGGGGGGAGCTACGAGTGAGCTCCCAGTCGTACAAGCCATTCCCAGCTCAGGAGGAGATGGCACTTTAGTACAGAGCTTCCCCTGGAGGCAGGACCCAGCAGAGCCCTTCGCCGAAAGCCCTTCCAGCTGGAGGAACAATGCTGGGTTTGTGCAAGGCTGCACGACACCAAAGGTGCGTGAGGCCCGGATGAATGACTGCTCTGAGCAGCCTGGCAGCCTTGTAAGGCAGGGTGGGGCTGAGGCTCCGGGAGAAACACAGAGCTAGTGTTGCCCAGAATGAAACCTGAATGAAGAGGGAGGGGTTGGGAGCTCTGAACATTCAACTCAGGGGAACGGGAGGAGAGGGTGGTCAGAAATGTGTGCTCACCGCCAGGCTGCAAAGGGCACAGCCTCAACAGCAGCCCAGTCCTGCAAGATGAGAGTTTCTAGCTGTTTCCCTCCCTGCCATACGGGGTTTTGGTTTGGTTGGGGTTTTTTTTTTGCTGCTTCTGAGCCTTCACCACCCAGGGGACTGGGAGAGAGCCCTGAGGCCAGAGCAGGGGACTAGGAAGCTGGACTCCTGGGGTTCAGTTCACTGTTCTAGGACCCAGGAGAGAAGGACCCAACTCACTATTTCACTCAGTCACTTCACTGCTCTGTGCCTCAGTTTCCCCACCAACAATTGGCAAGTGTATATCATCATACCAGGACAATGATTTTATGCAGCAGAATAATTCCTGCACTCCATTGATGGAAGCTGAGCTATGCCCGAAACAGTCACATTGCTTTGGGACGCCTGTATCTGCCCATGCACTTGTCCTTCCCCCTCCACCATACTACCCCTTCAGCACTGACTTCATCTGAAGGACCAGCCCCTTCCTCAGGGCTAATTTCTATAGCTATTCTTACACCAGAAACACAGCCAGCCCTAAACCCAGCTGTTAAATTCACTGGGGAAGTTCTGTATCTTTTTTCTTTGTCCAGTGAAGGGCATCACAGCCCTTGCTCCCACGAGAAATGCCAGGCAGTACCATCGACTCAGGATCTCAGAATCCCCTTTGGGGTTCTGGGGGAACAGTCCTACAAGGGCAAGGACGCTGAGCCAGCACAGGAATCCACACAGCAGCCAACAGATTTAGCTGCTGCTAAGGGCATCGGTGGAATAAAGGCAAGCTCATCCGCCTTATCTGGTGAGCTACATCTGTGCATTCCAAAGCGCAGCCATCTCCAGGTAAAACCGTATCAGTTTCAGCTGCAAGAGGCTTCCCAAAGATGATCTCAAACCCTGTCTGGAGCCAAAGATTGGAGCATCTGCCCAAGCATGGGGAAAGGAGACATCAGATGTCCAGGACAAGGCCTAGTTGCAAGACAAAGCCCAGGGGCAAAACCAAGGGACAGATAAATCCCTGTGCTGAAAGCAGGGGGCAGAGCCGATTTCGGTGGGCCAGACTCTGGCAGGGAAGAGCACCAGGGAAATATTCACGTCTGCACAACAGCAACTGGGCTGGAGTCCAGAAGACAAGCCAGAGCAGACAGAGGGAAGCGGCAGTGCTCCTCTGCTCTCTTCCAAGCAGGGAGAGCCTGAGCCCCAGACCACATCTAAGGGCACTGCATACCTGGGCCGCTGCCTCCCGGGCTGGGGAGCACCCAAGTGTGAGCTCCAGGCTCCCTCTCCTGGGCAGGTGACACCATTGCAAACGCCTCCAAAGAGGAGGCTCAGAGGCCTCCGCAAGCCCTGGATCCCATACGCTGCCACATCCCAGACAACCCCCTCCTTCCTTCCAGCAAGCCCAGCCTCCCAGGAGAACGGGAAAACAGCTCCCAGGCCCTGAGAAAGAGGCCACCAAAGCATCAAGATCTTTCCCTGGATGCTTCAAGAGGGTAGAACAGTAGCTACAAAGGTAGACTGAGTCACAGAGGTTTGCCCGATCCTAAAGCGTGTTCCTCACCCACCAAGAACTTATGTCCTGCTGGAAATCATGCCTGTAACCCGGCCCGGCTGGCCCAGATTCGTTTCACCACACGCAGACTGAGATCTCACTCCTTCATAGCCCACACACGCTTTTGAATCAGTCTGGGGATCTGCTTGGGGAAGGCAAATCTGTTCCCAGCAGAGTTACCAAGAATGAGGAACACCTCCCTTGATCAGATCCCACCAGTCCAGGGAATGGACCCGTCACCTTCTCCTCCTTGGTGTCTGGCTTTGGTGAGTAACACCGAAAGCTCTGGCTGGGGGCTGTGCTGCCAGCCCCGCTCTGAAAAAGACCATGGACCCTTTCTAACCTGCAGAGACACACCACTGTTTTGTCCTTTTAGGGCTAAATCCTGCAAGAAAACACTAAAAATAACTTTTTATAAAGAGACAAACCATGTTTTCCTTTGGAAAGTCAGCTTTCAGCCCACCTGCTCCCCATGAAGCAGCTATCCAGCTGCATGTGGGAGCATTTCTGGTTCTTCTCCCACCTCTCATTTCCCTCCAGATGGAGTGATGCTCCTTTGGGCAGAAGCAGAGAGAGCCCACCACGCTCCCATTAAAACAGATCACGGACCTGGTCTCAGTGCAGACAGCCTATCTGCTAGTCCTCCCCAGGGCACTGAGAGCTGGGCTCACAGAGTCAAGTAAATTTAGACTGGGGAAATCTGGTGCAAGCTGAGTTCATGCTCTGTACCGGAGGGGGGGAAAAAAATCCCTCCACATGTTCCATGTTGTTAAATGTGTGGGAAGTCAGATGGAAATGTGTTCCTGGGGTGGAGAAAGGATGGCCTAGAGCTCTAGAGACTTTCCACTGCACATCATCCCACCGAGTGCAATTGCGCTCTTCCAAAAATACCCCCAAGCCCACTCCAATTTCCAACCCAGTTTAATCTGCCAAGTCCCACTTCACCCACAGCTGCTCCCCCTGCCTCCAGCTCATGGCTGGAGTGACTCCAAGAGACAGGGCACAAGACAGGAGGAGAAAGACTGATCCCCCAGGCTCACCTCCCAGGTCTGCCGCCTGGCACAGCTGTTTCCAGGCACTGAAGCAGCTCACCCCAAGAAATCAGC